ACAGGAGGCAGCCAAATGATGATTCTCTCTCATCATTGATGTTTCTATCTTTCTCTGCCTTCTCTCTGAAATCAACAAAAAATATTTAAAATATGTTGAAACAAAAAAGTAAAGTTTCATTCTGCTATTAGAAAATAAAGGAAGTTACATCGGTCCGTATTGTTTCTGGACTCATGACTGTAAATTATTTTCTCCATTTATCCTTGTCCAAGCTCCTGCCATATCTTGCCTGGAAAACTGCACTAGCCTCCTAACTGGTTTCTCTGCTCTCTTCCTAATCCTAATCTATTCTTCATGGATATGAGTGAGCTTTTCATATCAATTCATCATAACTTTTCTTTGATTAACACTCCCCAGTGGTTACTTTGCACCTGTTATCATGGCTCTGAATGATCTGGCTCCAACTACCCTTTCTTACATCCTTTCTCTACCTTGAGCCTGCCAAGGTCTTTCCCACTCCAGACTTTTGTACTTGTTCTTCTTAGAAACATCTCTTCTCCAGGATGTTTGATACGGCTGGTTCATCCATTCCAATCCCTCATGGCTCATCCCTTTACCTCTGCATAACAAGTCTTTTCTGACTGCCTCCTTCTCACCACCCCTGTCATTTATTTATTTTTTTTTCATATGACCCTCCTTATATACCTGATAGCACTTGGAATGGTCTCCATTGATATCCCAACTGATGGTAACTCCTTATTTCCAGTTGTATAGGCCCCAAACCTTGGCATCATCCTTGGCTCCCCCTTCCTCTTATATCCCACATTCATTCCACCAGGAGACAGACTGATGGCTCTGTCTTGAAAATGCAGGCACTCTGACCACTTTCCACTGCCTTCTCTACTACCGCTTTGTCTTGGTCTGAGTCATTATCATCTCTCACTTGATTACAGAATAACCACTTAACTGGTTTTCCCATTATATGGTTTCCCTCTTACATTTTATTCTCAACAAAGCAGTCAAAATGACCCCTTTAAAACTGTTTAAATCCTTTAGTGACTACCCATTTCTACCATGGCCCACAGGCCCAACAATTTTATGTTGCTGGCATTTAACTCTTGGGGGAAAGAATATTGTCCTTATTGTTCACTAAAGTATTCCAAGTACCTAAATATAACTGAAAACATAATAGGGACTCAGTACATATATCTTTGGATTAAATGAATGAACCTTGGTTATTGATTCATCATTTATTTTTCCATTGTTGGAATGTAAGATACATGATGGAAGAGTCCTTATTGGTCTTGTTTAATGTTGTATTACTAAACACTCAGAACTACACCTGGTATAGAGTAAATGCTTGATAAGCTCTTGTTGAAGAAATCAGTGAATATCTACTATGAAAAGATTATTGTATCTGCTTATACTATAATAAGTTAATGAATGCATTATGCATACAGACAGTGCAGTTTCCATTCATCATTCATAGGCAGCTACCTATGGTGAATGAAGAGTGTTATACAATAAAGCAAAGAATAAACTGTTAATATAAATAGAACTTCAAGGAAAGCAGTGTGTAGGGTTATGGTTGCCCCAGAGTTACAACCATGTAGTGAACTGGAACATATTCAGTATATATCACATTCTTTCTGCAGTTTGCCCTGCCTGTACAAACTCTCTGCTTAACTTCCTCAGGAAAAAGAAAGCCATTGCTTTTCTGGTTATTTGCAAAACTGCTTACCCAAGGGGCTTTTTTTTTTGGTTTGTTTACAAAAATGAAAAAAGTCATTTCCGTGTATAAGAGCACTTTGTATTCTTAAAGGAGAGATTCACACTGCCAATCACTTACATAATCTATTTTGTTTTTCATTTGTATTGAAGGGCATTCATACCTCTATATTACTGTGTGCAAATCTAGGGAATCTAAAACTATTCTCTGTGATCGTTTGGATTGTTAATCTCTCCAGGGTTTCCTCAACAATCTCAGAGGCAGTTTCTGGCACCAAAGGGAAAATGGAGAAGTTGAGATGCAATTTTATCTCCCAATTGAACTTGATTAAATGGAGACTGTTCTAATCAAAAGTTTGAATCCCAGGGGAGTGCAATGTTGTTAACAGATTTGAGAATATTTGAGAAGAACAGGGAGGAAGAGTGCTAAAGTTAAGGCAGAGAGAAAATCAGGCAAGAAAATAATTGTAGTAAAGCTTATTAAGGCATAAAATTAGGTGAACAAATTGCTTCACAGATAGTGTTAAGCTCATTGCTAGACTGGCAAAGGAAGTGGAAAGAAGCTCTTTGAAAACATTATTTTTATTATTTTAATAATTTGTGTAGGAATCGTAGTAGCTGCAATCTGTTACCCAGAAACAATTGCCAGCTGGTGTCATCATGGAGTAACTATAGTAGGCTGAATGCAAATATGTTTTTCCTTTTCACCTGGAGAGCATTCAATTTTAGAAAATTTCTATTTATTTTCACCTGAATGTGAGGTCTGCCCTTGTCGATAAGAAAGCCTGTTTATTGCATGATTTAAGAGCTCTGATTAGTTTCACACCAAGTTCTACAACTGTGATAGGGAGGCCACTCCTGGGATAGTGTTCACACCACCAACATTACCCGTCATTAAAAACGAATACTTGGTTACATGCCTGAATTAACTGTGTCATTGCTTGATTCTATGCATTGTTTTCCTTGTGGTTACCCCAGGGAAATGTTGGTGCCTCCTTAGGTATTTTACTGAAAGCAAAAAGAGATCTTCTAGGGTAATGTTTTTTGAAGAGGGTTAAAGGTACACTTACTTATGGAAATATATTTTGTTAGCAACATAGCTGTTATATTTGTTTGTTATTATGCTTTCTTCTGAAATTCTCCTTTTGTCTTTTAGCAATGATATAATCCTTGTTAAATTGTATTGTCTTTCTCCTTTATCTGGGAACTCTCTGACTAAGTCCAAAATACTTCAGGGTGTGGAGATTGCTCAGCTTTGTCTTTAAGCCTGAGGGAGAGGTAAAATAATTCAATTGTTCTATTGCAATTCCTTTGCCTCTTCCTGTCTCTTGACTCAAAGGGTCTTGAGAGAGAGAGAGGAAATTATGGGCTCTGTTGTTGATGTTCATTGGATTTTTTCAAAGGTGATGTGAATGTATTTCAGGGATATTAGTGATTTCTAGTTTTGGCTCTGCTTTCACCCAGCTTTCCTTGGTTCAGTTTCATAATCTCTGAAATGGGATATTATGCTCCTCTGATCGCCATAGAGCAGTGGTTCTCAACCTTCCTAATGCCGTGACCCTTTAATACAGTTCCTCATGTTGTGGTGACCCCCAACCATAAAATTATTTTCGTTGCTACTTCATAACTGTAATTTTGCTACTGTTATGAATCGTAATGTAAATATCTGATATGCAGGATGTATTTTCATTGTTACAAATTGAACATAATTAAGGCATAGTGATTAATCACAAAAACAATATGCAATTATATATGTGTTTTCTGATGGTCTTAGGCGACCCTTGTGAAAGGGTCATTTGACCCCCAAAGGGGTTGCGACCCACAGGTTGAGAACCGCTGCCATAGAGAATTGTTCTGAGGAGCAGATGGGATAATGGCTAGGAATGTGCTTTCCACTATACAAATTGCCACCAGCACTCAGGTTATACATTTGTGTAGCGAACATATTTATCCATATGATAACAAGTGATTTTATAAAAAATGAGAAACTTCTCAAATAAAGTAATATGAAAATATAATAAATTTTTACTTTTCTAAAGCAAATGTATGTATTTCAAAATAAGGACACCATTAACTGGATGCATACAGGGAATAATTGTTAGGTTTTATCGGGGTTTTGGTTCTATTTCAATTTCTTGCTTGGGAGAGTAGTGGGATGCCATTAAAAGGATTTTAAACTTTAAATGAAAGAAAAAGAATCTAGTAAGCTTTAAAGAAGCGGATTCACCTTACCTCACACCTTTCTTACTAATATAGGTCATACAGTATCAGGAAGGGCACTGTTTGTGGCTGTTTATAGAGTTGAAAAGAGGAAAGGAAGCAGAGGAAGCTTTGTTAAGGTGAACCCCCACCTGCCTGGAAAATGAAAAATAACCTCCTCTGGGCAAGCTTACCATCCCTGAAACAGATCTGGATCTTAAGTGATGGTTGCCAAGGGGACAGTCTAACAGATGAAAGGGATCAGCACAGTGTCTCAGGAAGAGACAAGTACCTCATGGATCTGTAAGGAGGCCAGGTGGGAAAGTTGGCTGATACAAATTGGAATGCCAGGTGTGGTTGACTGGGACTGGCAGCGTAGCCAGGAGGGACATGATAGTATGGGCCAGGGGATAAAACTGCATTGTCTTGACCTTCAATACACTGCCACTCTCCACTTGGGTCAAACAAGACCAGGAATTTATTCCAATTGATGGTACAAACATCCATTATCTGAAAAACAGAAATTGTTATTATCTAAAGATTTAGTTCTTAGGTAAATGCAAAATTTAAAGTTTTTTTTGTTTTGTTTGTTTTTTTGTTTTTTTTCTAAAGAGCTAGTTTATGTTAAGAAATACAGGTAAGTGCAGATCTTATTGTCCACATTGGGGGGTGGGTCTTGCATATTTAGTGCCTCAGCGTGTATTAGTAGGATGAATTTCAGCAGCTGACCCCTAAACGCCTCTTACTCTGTAAGTACTGCATGGTTGTGGGAAGGGCTGTCTGGGCTGGGAGAAATGAACTGGGTGTTGAACACAGAGCCTGATGGATTCACCGTAGAAGCCTAAGGGACAATGGCGTCTCAGCATGACTGGATGCTGGTTGAATGAAGTTGTAGAGTTGGATACACCAAGTTTGTCGTTAAGGAAGGGATGGGAAAAACTTGAGCACCAGTTAGAATGTTTTGGGTAGAAATTAAAAGCTGCCTGGAGGCCATTTCCCCTGCTGACCAGGGACCAGCCTACTCCTGGGAAGTCCTGTTTAGGAGGATCCACCCAGCGGTGTGCAGGTATTATTCCCGTCGATAGGATAGGCCGGCCAGATTTCTCTCCACCTTCAGATTGAGAGAGCAGCCACGCTCTCCTGCGGGGCCTCGCCTGGCTCCGCCTTTGCTTCGCTCCCCAGTCTCTCCTCCCTCGAGGCAGAAGGGATTCCCGGCGCCAGCTGCCACCCCGAGCCCCGCGGAGCAGCGGACTCCTCCCCTGGAAACTCCTCCGGGGCTGGGGGAGCGGCGGCGCATGCTCCGAACCTTGGGCAGGTTTTTGCTGCGGGTAGCAGGGCTCCTGTCACTCCGGCGGGCGGGTTGTGGCGGTGCCAGCCAGTGCGTGCGAGTGTGTCTGCGTGCCCGCGCCCGGGCGGACCGACCCGGAGCGGCGGCACTCCTCTCCCGGAGCGGCGGCTCCGCACGGGCGCCTCGCCGGCCGCCGCGGCGGGGGCTCCTCGGCAAACTTGCGGCGGTCGCCGGCCGCCCTCGCGGCTCCCGCGCCTCGCCATCTGAGGGCAGAGGCGCCCGCGCGCGTGCGGAGCGTGGTGCCCGCGGCCGGCCGTGGCGGCGGGGCCCGGCCGCGCCTTCGCCCTTGGCCCGCGCCCCGGCGAGCCCTATGCAGCCCCCGCGCTCGCGGCCGCAGCTGCCCGGCCGCCCGGCCGCCCGGGGCAGGTCCCGGACCGGAGCCGCTCTCCCCAGCGCCTGAGCGCCCGAGCGCGGGCGGCGGGATGCCCCGAGTCGCCTGAGAGCGCGCCCCGCGCCCCGGCGGGAGCCAGAAGCGGGCCGAGCCGGGCGCTCCCGGGAGCGCAGGGCGCCCCGCGCCGCCGCCGCCACCGCACGCGCCGGCGCCCGCCTCCCCGCTCGGTCCGAAGGCCCGGCTCCGTCCGTCTCGAGCGCGGGGTGCCGCGGGGCCGCCGGCCCGCCGCTCGCCTCGGCGTCGGGGGCATGGAGGAGAGGCAGGCTCGGAGCCGCGCCCCTGAGTCCCCGAAACTTCCGAGCGGACGCCCGTCCGCGCCGCTGCCGCCGCCGCTGAGCCTGCCGGCCTGAGACGGGACCATGGATGAAAGGTTCAACAAGTGGCTGCTGACGCCCGTGCTCACTCTCCTCTTCGTGGTCATCATGTACCAGTACGTGTCCCCCTCCTGCACCAGCTCCTGCGCCAACTTCGCGGAGCGGCCCCGCGCGGGGGAGGCCGGCCAGCCCGCCGCCCCGGGGCCCGCCCGCCGGACGCAGGTGCCGCTCGAAGACGGGGAGCGGCGTCCTCAGCTGCCCCCGCCACCTCGGGGCCCGCCCGAGGGGCTGCGGGGGGCCGTGGCGCCCGAAGACGACAGCGATGAGCCAGGGGACCCAGAGGAGGAGGAGGAGGAGGCGGAGGAGGAGGGGGAGGAGGAAGAGGAGCCGGACCCCGAGGCCCCGGACCATGGCTCTCTGCCTCGGTTCGTGCCGCGCTTCAACTTCACCCTGAAGGACCTGACCCGCTTCGTGGATTTCAACATCAAAGGGCGCGACGTGATCGTGTTCCTGCACATCCAGAAGACCGGGGGCACCACGTTCGGCCGGCACCTGGTGAAGAACATCCGGCTGGAGCAGCCGTGCAGCTGTAAGGCGGGCCAGAAGAAGTGCACCTGCCACCGGCCCGGCAAGAAGGAGACCTGGCTCTTTTCCCGCTTCTCCACGGGCTGGAGCTGCGGGCTGCACGCCGACTGGACGGAGCTCACCAACTGCGTGCCGGCCATCATGGAGAAGAAAGACTTTCCCCGCAACCACAGCCACACCAGGTACCGTCCCCGGCCCCGTCGGGCTCCCTGCCACCTCCCCGCCCCTCTCTCCCCAATCCCGACCCCTGGCCGCCCTGCCCCTGCGCTGTCTGGGCGGGCTGGGCTGGTAATTCCTCCAGCGTCTCTCAGAGGCGGGGGCAGAGGCTTTGGGATGGCTATAAGAAACCTCTGGATAGTTCCCTGGTCTTGAAGACACCCCCCCCCCTCCAACCCCCTCCACCCCCCCGCCCTCACCCTCTTTGCTTCCTTCAAATGTGTGGGGAGCCATTTGTGTGTCTCCTTCCTTGTGCCTAGCATGGTGTGGCGTCCCTCTGAGCAATGCTTGGAAAACCTTGGAATGGCGAGGAGGCCTGAGTTAGATCAGCGAGGTAGAAGCTTGTACGTAACTTCTGTGAGTGGAAACCAAGTCCAGTAAAAGACAGAGGAGGGAGTTGGGGGTAGAGAGGCAGGGCAGGAGTTTTCCAGGCATGGTGAGGCTGAAGAGGAGTCTGATTCCTCCGTAAGTGGCTCTTAGGTGGCTGCTCGCCAGCTCAGGATACAATCCTCTTGATGGTACTTTTAAGATACATGTTCAAATTCCTGCTCCTACCTTGATAACCCTAATTCTGGAAATGGTTTTTGTTGCTGAGCAATGCCAGGATTGTGAATGCTGCTCTCAGCAAGATTTCCACTTTCCCCCACGCCAATCCATCAACTCATTCAAAAAGTATTTGTTAAATGCCTACCGTGTGCCTGGCAATGTGCTAAATGCTAAGTGGATACAAAAATATAGTAAGTAAAATCCCTTCTTTTCAGGATAGAATGGCCTTTCCCCCCTCCCCCTGTTAAATAGTGATACTACTGAGAATTAGGAAAGTTTGACATCTTAATAGCCAATGAAACTGCTTACATTATTAACATCCTTTGAGAGAGACATGGGTTTAAGAATTTGGTTGAATGTTCTTTCTGCCCATTGCAATTTGAAGATTAATCTGACATGCTTGCTCAAGGGACTGAAATATTAAAAGCTTGGAACACTAGTTTATTGAAGTTTTTATCTCAAAGGTTTCAAACAATTTGGTGTAAGGAAATAGGAATTTAAAAACTCAAGCTCAATATGTTGATATCAGATAGCTTTTGCATTTGACATTATGGAAAAGCTCCATTTACTGGCAGCTACCCAGATTCTAGAATTCACCACCACTGAAGCATCTAATTCTACTTCATTTCTCCAAGAATGAGCAAAATTTCATTATGGGATTTTTTACTCTGGCAGTTTTTCAAATGCTTTCTCTCCTCCCTGCTCCTTTCCCTGTTTAATGGAAATTGGTGAGAATAAAAAATAGTTAGACTTGGAATGAAGGCATTAGACTTAGTGTATTTTATGGATATTTTACTTTTAAGTATTTCTAACTGTGTAGTATTTTAGATCCTGCCCCTCTATTTTAGCTTAAGACAATTTTCCAATTAATTATTACTTCTATACTTCCTAACAAACAAAACTATTATTGCAGTGAGAGGGAATCTCTGCTGCGTTTTACCCAAAGTTGTACTTTTCGGACTTAGACCGTTATGTATTAATTCCTGAATGACCACAAAGAGTTTGATAGTCTGATTCCCATTTCACTCAAACTAGAGACGTTGATTATCACATAGAAACGTCTAATGACCCTTTGGTAGGTATCAGTATTATTTTGTACTGATGTATATAAGTCTTAGTGAATAGGTTTAAGATTTTGGAGGAATTAGAGATTATGGAACCTAAAAATAATGGGATTTTTGCTTAGTGGTGAAATGATGCTGCTGCCACAGACCCAGCATAGATTATAGCAGTAGTGTCTCACTTCTAAAGGAAATACTCAATACCTCCCTACTCTGTGATGTAGGAAAATTCCACCTTGACTATTTGAACATATGGTTTCTAATGCACAGTCCAATGCTTTTCTTTGTTTAGCAATGGGCCACAAGCATTCACTTCTTCCTGATTCTCAAGTTACCAGATAATCACCCTGCACTGATTCACTGATTCACTTATTTTTTTAATTCTAATTTGTGTGTGTGTGTGTGTGTGTATTGGGGGAATAGCACCTCTTATGATCTTTCTTCTTTTTCTTTCTCTCCCTTTTCTGGTACTCTAAATTACTTTTCTTCTCTAGATGCTGTAGGAAGGAATATGTGAGGTGCCTTGCATCAAAAGCTATGGAGAAAAAAATTGAAGAGATGTTCAGTAGCATCTTCCTCACACAGAAGATTGAATTAGTTGTCTGTCATTGGAATGTCTTTGTACGACATTCTACACTCAACTAGATTAGCCTGGATAATGGAGGGTACATTTCCACAATGCAAAATGGCAGATAATCTATTGCTACATAATGGGAACAAGGTTCTTCTTCAAATAGAGCTGACTCAAAGCCAAATCGAGAAGTAGAGCATGGTGATTTTAGTTTCCTACTCTCTTAGCTTTTGGTATCCCTCTTGGGCACCCCATTCTCAATTTCCCACAGGGATCAGTGCTTTTGTGAGTCATGTAATTGGTCGGATCAAGGATTCTGGATTCAGATGGATATGGCTCCTGTGCTTACTAGCTGTACAACCAGAAGTAATTTATTATTTCTGAGCCTCAGATTCTTCATCTTTAAACATAGGTAGGTAGCTATTAGTGCTTCTATCACAGAGGTGTTATGAAAACTAAGTGAGAAAATGCATTCAAAGTGCTTAATGTAGTACGTATTCATAGTATAATATGCTGGTATAAAGTTCTTAATATTTAATATGCAAGTATATAGTAACAGTTAGACATTAGTTGTTAACTATAATAAGAATATTTTCCCTAGTAGAAGGATATGAGGTCAGTTCCTTAGAGCTGCTTAGTGTAAATAGTCCCCAGTAATTTATAGAGATGCCATTTATGATTGTTTATATTGAGACAGAATCCTAAATTCAAAACACCAGAAATAAATGGAAAATTATGGACATTTGGGCATCAGCCATTGCAGGGGACAAGATGGGAAACAAAATCATTGAGTATATCTTCTGTTGGTGACAAGAAACACTGTCTGGAAGCCAGTGGGAAGCCAACTCTAAAGGGAGATGCATAAGGCCCAGGAAGGAGAAAGGCTTGGTGGCTGGCAATTTGGATCCAGCACCAAGGGCATTTCTAACCACCAAAATTGGTTAGAACAAGATAGGAAACTAATAGGAAGATGGCATACCTGAAGACCTCCTTTATCATATCATTGATGATTGCTTCTCATTATATTCTTTTGCTTTTTTCTCTCTCCAATTACATATTTTTTTGTTATGGTATGTTTCCCCCCTAAGCATACGTAGGTCTTTTGAAGACTCTTCTTTAGTGTTGTTGAGTATTGATAGAATCATAACATTTTATGGCTAAAAAAGACTGGAAAGATAATCTTGTCCTACTATATATGTGGCGAGTCGGTAATCTAATCTTAAGGATGTGAAATGATTTGTTTTTTCTAGGGCACTCATGTCTTCATTTTAGTAAATTTATTCAATGTTTTGCCTACTGTTTACTATGAAAAGTATAATGGAGAGTGTCTTATTCACCTACTATGTGCTAGGCACTCTGAAGTTCTAGGAATACAGTTTTGGACAAACAATGTCAGCCCTATGAGCTTAGGCTCTTAAGGAAAATAGACCTTAATCTTCTTTGGTAAGTGAGTATCACTCTAATTCTGAAATTATGCTGGAAAGAGATTCCATCCAAACCTTTTGTAGGGTGGAATGGCAGTTTTTCTTTTTTATGATCTGCATTCTGTTCGTCCTAGTAGAGTAGTTTGAACCTTATGAATATTGTATTAGACAGGACACTCTGCTGCAAATGGTACAACTCTAATGCAAACTTGGTACAGTCAGGGGGAATTATTGGCTTAAACCAGGAAATAGGAAAGTTAGGGGTAGAGTTGGTTTCAAAAATGACTGGAACTAGAGATTTGAAATTTTTCTCCCCACTTTGCACATGGACCTCATTCTGTCAATTGGCTTATTCTACAAAATGGATAAATGGCTATCATATCTAATACCTCCATAAGCTGAGAGGGAAGCAGGTCTTGTCTGAGTTTTAGCTTGCAATCTTGGGGAACGACTCTTTATAGTCCAGTTTGGAACTTGTGACTATTCATTTGAAGCAAATCAATTGGCCAGGGAGATGAGGTTGACCTTGTATCACAGATCTATCCCATGACTGATGTATGTGAGTGTGTGTGTGTGTGTGTGTGTGTTCACAAGAATAGTATAGACATGGTTGTTCCTGGGTGCATTGGGTTCTTAACTTCTAGACAGTCCTTCCAATTGTGTCAATTATAGATAAATAAAGGAGAAATAAATGAAACTTCAGTTCTCTTCTTTGCATTTTATATTATATTTAGGACACATTAAAAATGAGAGAGAGAGAGAGAGAGAGAGAGAGAGAGAGAGAGAGAGAGAGAGAAAGACCTTTTGGTGTATGGGATGATGCTCCTACCAACTGAACCACCCTGGTCAGGGCATACCAAATAAATTTTAAGTCAAGCTACAGCTCTTATTTATTCGTAACATCTGGGAACCATGTCATATGAGGAGTAATCAAAGGAACTGATAATATTTAATAAGGAGATGGGAAAAATAAAGAGACATAAAAGTTGTCATTAAATGCTCAATGGAGGAAAATGTGGAAGATGAAGGAGACTTGTTTAATATTTCTCCAAAGGACAGAACTAGCATAAGTGAGATAGGAGTGATGGGATAAGGATTTCAACTCAGAGTAAAAAGAACTTTATACAATTTGTAACTGTCTAAAATGAGAATGAACTCTTTTGTGAAGTGGCATGCTCCACAGCAGTGAAAACTTTAGACATGGATGATTAACTACTGATGTTGTAAATGGAAATCCTTCCTGGGCCAACATATGGCCTTTTATTTTAAGGCTTGCATTCTAATCTAAGGGTATCTTCCTCCTCCCTTTTTCTGTCCCAGACAAACAAAACAAAATAAAACAAACAAATGAACAAACAAACAGG